ATGATAGGGGTGAAAGTTGGCATGAAAATTTATTACTACCTGGCATAGAAGTATAATATTTTTACAAAGTATATGTAGTTAATAAGTCGATTATTTGATCGAACTGTATGTGTATTTAAATTCACTTTTTTCGTATTAGAAAATCTAGGTATTTTCGGAAAAAACACCCACAGTTTTTGATATAATTTAGTCCTAGAAAATCTAAAAAATGTATCTTCTTCAGTTTATAGTGAAATGTTTTCTCATCCATTGAAAGCACACTTTTTTAAAAGCATTTTAAATAAAATCAAAACAAGAAACTTAAACTGAATAGCTGAATTAACTAAAACAATACTAAGAACACCGTGAACTAACTAAATGTAAACCAACAAAACCCAACAGAAAATTAAAATCGGAAACAGCTAATAATAATGATGTATGTAATATCCATGTGAAACAACTGAAGAAACTGACTTAAAAATCCTCTGAAAACCTTCAATATTCCCATCTTAGATTCCCATATCCTTTTTCTAGGACACTGTTGCCAATTCTACTTACCAATTTGTATAAACTATATCGGTATCACGGCACATGCAAACAATATGCCGTGTCTGTATCATAAAAGTACCTATTTGCTATATAAAAGATCAGCTGCTAAATTTTAAATCAATTTAAAATATCAAATAAAATTATAGTAGTGCATAAAACTATTAACAAGCAGGATATAAAAATAATTAAAGATAATTTAAGCTGGCTAATAGTAGATAGACTTTAGATTAATATTTGAAATTAACAGCTGGAAGTACAGCTAAATACAAACGGCAAGCTGACAACAAAGATCCTATTCTTTAAGAATTGTATATTTCTGATATTTTATATAATTTTTAATTTTAAAGAAATCGTCATTTTCTTTATACATATGTATTGATCTTAACCGATTGTTAAAATTTGTAAATTTCTCATACTTTACAAATAAATATTAGCTGATATTTCCTAACATCATGTAATTATAGTTATTTATTGTTATCCAGGAGAAAGCGCTAATACAAGTACATATAACATTTAATTCTCACATAAAAAAAGTTCAAGCTGGCAATCTCGCTTTGACTTTATAATCGTGCGGCGGCTGCGACGGCCAGACGAGACGGCGCGGTGTATCAAAGTGTGCGAACACAGTGCAAGCAGGTTTGCCGCTTTCTGGTAGCCAGCGCCAATCTGGGTACCTATTCTTGACATCGTTCGCAACTTTGCGTATACGCATCACGTGTATTGTTATAAACAGGGCATCCCAGAAATAAGTGCAAGTATTTTAAAGGGTGGTAGATCTCGATAAAAGAAACATATTTTCTCTTTATCGTTTTTCAAATAAGTCCAAAATAACGGAGTTATTTTACTTTGAAAATTTCCAAAAAAAATGATTTTTTGCTCAAATTTTGAGAACCTTCTTCATGTGCCTTCTCCTCATCGGAGGTTGGCGACCATCAATTGGAATTCCTCCCTGTCTTGAGCCAAACGGATAATTGCACTTGCCTCTCCTATATTAAACCATGGCACTGGCGCAAATTCCGCATGCAGGAAAACCGTTTACGCCCGATGCCTCGTCGTCCTTCAATCTTTCCCTCAACGATCAGCTGTAGGAAACTATATTTGTTATTTCGAAAAATATGACCAAAATATGCTGCTTTTCGTCGTTTTATTGTAGTCAATAGTTCTTGGTCCTTACATATTCTTTCCAATACTTCGAGATTTGTTTGAGAACCACTGGATCTTTTCTGGATTTTCTTTCTTATAAATTTAATCTACTACCTATGTTGCCATATTATCAAGAAATTATTTTTTTAAATAAAAACTAAAAAAAATTGCAAAAAAATTCCAAAAATATTTTCAAAAAATTCCGAATTTTCAAAAAAAAATATTTAGAAAAAAACCTCATAGGCGTGTTTCTGGGGTTGAACTATACTACCAGTTAAGTTAAAATACTTGCACGTATTTCTGGGACACCCTGTATATGGTTACATAGTAGCGCCGCGCCGCGCCGCCTCGCGCTTATAACCTTGAAAAATTAAAGCGTGTTATCAAATCGGCTAGTTCACAGTGAAAGCAGGTAGGAGCCGTCAACCAGCGTTCATCGGCGTTCTCGCTTTTACCGGAACGAAAATTTATTTATTTCTGCTTTTGCAGGCGCCGACGGCGCACAGAGGGTATTAAGAACTAAAAGTTGGCCAAAATTATGTTTTATGATTTTTTTGCTTTTTTGCTAGTAATATTAATTATTAGAGGAGAGGGTGCTAATATGGAACCTCATTTTGTTTTTCCTACACAATATTTTTTCCTCTACTCTGAAACCCTTTCCACCGATCAAATAGGGCCATTCTGTGCAAAACCAAGCAATTGGATGAGGATGCTAGAACAAGAAAGTAATTTGTATATTATCGACGATATTTGAGCGAGGACGGGTGTTATAGGGTAATGACTATTTTCTTTAAGAATCTATTTAAATCAATGTTTTTTTGGCAGTGGCAAATATTGGCAAGATTTTTGTACATATTCCAAAGCTGGAGACTTTAAGCATTGAACGGATACTAATTTCCATGCGGAATATTGCCGAATAGTCTTACACCTTATAAAAATGCCTCTGATTTTTTAAATATAAAACATTATAAAGAAATAAAATAGAAGGAAACGTTTCAAAATAAAAATATGGCATAAAACAGGACTTGCCAGCTGGCTCTGTATCCATGATGACAGTTATTATAAACAATTTGCAAAAAAAGCACTACAAACAATTCCGCTATTTTATAATCTTAGAAATATTCAGAATACACTCAAGATAATTCATAATAATTGAAATATATTATTTATTTGATAGTCAACTTACGACTTAAAAAAAGCTAATAAACGCGCTTACATTTAGTATTTATAGATTTGTATTCAGTTAAGATAAAAAATGAAAATAAAGATATTTCACTTTTGGCCAGGTTTATAGACCAAATACCCCTATGTGCGGCGCCGGCGCGGCGGGAGCGGCGTTTGGATATGTTTAGGTTAGGTTAGGTTAGTTAATCAGGTAAATTTCCTCTTAATTAACTACTTCCGAACCCTGCTCGCATCTCCGAAAAAGCCATATAACAATACACGGCATATACGCAAAGTTACGCATCACGTGTATTATTATATGGCTTTTTCGGAGATGCGAGATGTGAGCGATATTTGAAGATGCGAGTGGTCAAGAATAGGTCCCCAGAGACGGCGCTGGCTGCCGGAAAGCAGAAACCTGCCTCCACTATGTTCGTACCCAAAGGCAAGGTTAAAGGCGAGAAAGAACGAAAGAAATAGAAGCTTAGGGAAGGGGGGAGTGCGGGAACGATTTGAAGTGATCACGGCTGTTTGTTTGGCCGAATATTTTGCCTTCATCGACGGTATCGCCGCTCTGTCGTCGCACTTCCGAACATAGGTCTTTTTGAACACAAAATTTCCCATAAGGTGTCGCATCTGTTTAAGTTAGTTTGTGGTATAGATTAATAGTTTTATTAATTGATATTTGACAGCTTATGACATGGTAATGCATAAAAACGTGGCTTAAAACCTTATAACTTGTTTTTTTTAATGAATGTTATGATGATGCTATCTACAAAAATAAAAAGTTCCAACCAGTTAAAACATACAAAATAGAATTCTAACACTGTTTGCAACTATAAGGCTTATAGTCCGTGATAATACATATTAATTTAAATATATATAAATACATGCGGGTATTTTTACGACTAGTGTCGTTTCCCGCTCCTCGACCATAAATTCCGGTGGGACCGTGGGCATTCCGGTGAGTCATTTCTCAGATGTCTTTCAAGCATGGCTTCCTGTACAGGGTGGTCAAAATTGGTGTGTTTTAACAGAGAAAACCTCTATTTCCTGACTATATAGAGCAAAATCGACATAGATGTCATGGGCTCGATTTATGAGACACGTTTAATGGCGTAAACCGCCTGTTGATATTTTCACTTAGGCTATGAAAAAATGGTCCACGTTGTTTGTCTTTTACGAAAATAAACCAACCTCTCACAACCGGTTTCTGCGCCTATACCCTTCATCAGGTGAAGCCTAGAAACCGCTCGTGAGAGGTTGGTTGATTTTCGGAAATGACAAACACAACGTGGAATTTTTCATAGCAGTTCACGGCAAGAATTATATCATTTATTTATATGTTACGGTTAAAATTCGATATCCGGTTAATTTCGATATTACCAAGTTAATGTTTGGGTTTGGTTTGGATTGTTTTATGTTATTCTCGAGATTAACCGGGTAATATTGAGATTAACTTTATTTCGAACCTTAACCGTAACATATACGTAAAATTGCAAGAAACCTATTTCCACTTTACATATTAATTTAATAGACGGCACGAAGCGTGGTCTGGATTTAACGTGTAAGACAGAATAATATAAATGACCGGTTGACAGCCAGAGAGACAAAAATCAAAAAAGCGACATACGGTGTTGCCGGTTTTGCCGTTTGTAAATTTGTGTAGAAAACTATTTAAAACTTTCATGTATACTACTAAAATGAAGATAATATATCTAAGCTAAATATAATCTATTACATCTGTAGTAAAATGAGTAGCTAATTATGAAAAATAAGGTTCCACCCTAGATGCAATATTTTCCATAAACGCCTACTTGTGTGGTTTGAACTTTTGATGCAAATACGGCAAAAATAGAGAAATGTATCAACTTTTATCTCTTTTAATACATTTGATTTTCCATTAAGCAAATATAAATTTTGTGTAAGGTATGAAGAGTATTGAAAGATAGTAATTAACTCTGTGATCGTTTTCATTGTGAATACCCCATAAACAAGACAACTAAATTTTGATAGAACATTATTGGAACTAAAATTGATATTTGTGTCTCTTTTTAAATAAATCACATATGTATATGTAAACTTTATTTTAACTAAACACGAATTCTCCAAACATGTTGTTTAAAAAATATTTAAATTAACATTTTTGCAAAAAGTTCTTTGTAAAAATATAAAGAACCAATATGTTAAGGCTTATTTATACAAGTTGTATATGGTTTCTCCAGGGTGGAAAGTCTTGACACCTCTGTCAAATGTCCTGTAGTGATAATTGTTTATACTATCACCTCTTTGTATGGTCATTAACCCAGTTATGTCTGTACTTTTACCGGTTTTTAATTGCGATATTTCAACAAAAACATCGCATATATGCTGAACACTTTTGGCTACAATTTCGTCATTCTTTGATCCAACATGTGCATTAATCACAACAGAAATATTATCATTGTTCGTTAAATTAATGCAGTAGTTGATAAAGCTAATTATCTGGGACAAATCTATTGCTAAGTCTAGAAAATGGCTAACGTCATCGATCACTAAGTATACTGGACAGTCCTTCAAAGAGCAATAGTTGTCGATATGTTTCTTTATTGAGAGAAACAAACACTTTAGCATTTTAGACTCTTCAAAACTTTCCATAACAAAATATATATTAATGAATATTTTCGGAAATTTTAATTATATTAATGAAGTTTTGGGTGGTCCGAACCATAGAGTTAAAATTATAAATCCGAACTGTATTCCGGAAACTTCGGTGTTATTATTCTGCATAAAAATAAGTAAAAAGTTCGTGTAAATGTATCTCTAAAATGTTTAGTTTCGAGATACAGGCCGGTGTAGAAATTTCATTTTTATTTCGATTTTTTCCCGATAATTTCTGGAAGTAACGTCATTTGCATGAAAATTGGTGCCTGGTTTTTGGCGTGATGAATTTGATTTTAATGTCAATATGATTCCTATTTGTAGGGGCGCGACCATATGTTTTAACTGTTTTGAAGAGTACAACTTTTCGTCCGTACCTGTATAAACCACTGAAAAATACTCGTGACTTTTTACGTAAAAATGTCTTGGTAAAACGCTACGAGCAACCGTTCTCAAGATATTTAGAATGGAAACAGTCATTCATGTCATTATTGACAAAAGATAAACACGCGAGTAGATAGGTATTTACCGAAATAATAAATTTCAGAAATAATTTTTAAATTAATCATAAAACATGCAGAAAAATTTTCAAATTTATGATTTGAGTCTAATACTATTTAGCTATTTTAATTTATGTCAATGACGACTGGTATGGATAATTGATCTCCACATCTTCGAACCATTATCTATAGCGATTTTTTATCAAAGACCTTTTACGTAAAATGTCGTAAATGTATATTTTTTTAATTAGTAGTACAGGTACGGACGAAAAGTTATTACTCTTCAAACCAGTTAAAACAAATAGGAGTCTCTTACAAATAGAAGACATATTATCGTAACCAAATTTCGTATCAAAACTCACAGACAATTAATTATTCAAATATTGAAGTTATTTCATAAATTATTTGGAAAATTGAAATAAAGCCAAATCCTAAATAATATAAAACTACAAAAAAACTGTATCTCTGAAACTAATAATTCTAGGACATACTTTAAACGAACTTCATTACTAATTTTTATCTGCAGAATATACCCTGTATTTTGAAATTATAAAAATTAAAATTATAAATAATCGTATACAGTCACGTCTAAAAATGCTTCGTTTCCGAGATACAGGGTGTAGATTCATTTTTATTTCGATTTTTTACAAATAATGTTTGAACTAACATCGATATTTGGATATCTGCGCTTTGTAATATAAAATGCGATTTTGATATCATGGTCTTTATTTGCCCAGTAAGCACCATGTTTTTTTAACTCTCTCGAATATCAATAAATTTTCATCCGTACCTGCATTAACTAGTGACTGGAAAAAAAAAATTTTGCGCCGTGTTTTGCGTAAAAAAAGTCTCTAGTAAAACCCAATATGAGCAACTGTTTTCATGATATTTGGAATCAAAAGTAGTCAATACATGGACAAAATTAAACATGTTGATTAGATAGTTATTAGAGTGAAAAATAAATTTGAAATGTTTTTGTTGCCAAAGGTTCAACAGAAACTATTATCATCTATTATCAAAATGGCAAGTTCTTCGACTTACAAGACAGTGAAAGGTATAGGTACTGTTCATCCCATAGACTTAAAATAAAATATAGACTGAGCATCTCATTCATAAATAGCTGGAACATGCGGTCAGACAATGTCTTGTTATTGTTGTGTTATTGTTTTAGGTTATAACGAGTGCGACACGAACGATAGATAGGTTGTCTTTGTCGTAACGGTCGTTCCTCGACGACTCTGCCGAGAAACACCACACTGTCTTTCGTTTCCTAAGTACACCTGAACTCTCCGTATCATAGCCGGGTAATTTTATTTTAATGAAGCTATAATTAAATTAAAAAATATATTGTATTTAAACTTTTTTTATATTTATTAAGATTTAGGACAGGTTTTTAATAAAAGTTTAGAAAAAACGTCTTAGAGTCCAAAAAGTATAAAAATAATAAAATACACGTTATAGAAGAAATTTTATAATCGAAATTACGTAATTTTTGAAATTAATAATAAATTATTAATTTTAGTCAAACATTTACAACCCCCAATATTAATCAAAACAGGATCTATTCCACAGATATAATAGAAAAATAAAAAAGTTATTTTTATTTTTATTTACATTTACAACCCCCAATATTAATCAAAACAGGATCTATTCCACAGATATAATAGAAAAATAAAAAAGTTATAGGGGTAAGCCACTTTTGAGACGACCCGGTATATTAAAAAATATTGTTTCATAATGTAATATCATTTTAAAATTCTTGTATGTTATTTTAGATTCTGAAGATAATTTTAGAATAAACCGGAATATATTTTAATAAAAAAAAAACGTTATTAATTATTAACAGGGTTATAATTATGATTTTGTTACAATGTAAGTAAGTAAATAATGTAATTTAAGAGAAAAATTCAGATTTTACATTTTACTAAAATATTATTCAAATAAGCGCCTTTCTACAACAACGCAACTGACTCCCAATGGGTAAATTGAGAGTTGCCTACCGGTCGAAAGCCGTTTCAAGATCTTAAATCAATTATTTAAGTCAAATTTCTTGCAAATTTGGTACTGGCGAACCATATTTTATAGTTCCTGAACAGAAAAAGTCAATAAATAAACACTTAAGGACTACAAGCTAAGAAATGCGTTAATACAGCCGGGGACATAACGGCAACAAAGCTTTACCACACACGTGCGACGCGTACTACAAGGTAATAAATGAATGAATAGGCTCCTCGCCTCTAATCGGTGTTGTAATATTGTAAAGAACTTATCCTTTTTAAACAGTATCCGACTTATAATTTAGTAGTATAAGGACTATTTAATACATCTATGGAATATTAAAAACCTACTTTATTAAACTGTAGTATTAATAATATCTCAATATATGCGTATAACAAGAAAAAAAATATTGATAATATTGAAGACGTGACAACATAGGCTGGATGGGGAAGGCTCGGTCGACTGTACCCAGAAGTAAATATGTGTACAAAAAAGATTGTTTGACCGCGTTGAGATGTAAATAGTGTAGTCTATATTTTATTTTAAGTCTATGGTTCATCCTAAATACCAACGTTCCATTAATATAAGATACCACCTATTTTCCTCCCAACAAAACATTCCTAATATCCCATAGTATCCACTTTTTCCCCCAGGTCAATGAGACATATTCTTTTTGAATGCTTACCTGTTGCCTCCAATAGGTCTTGATTCTTTAATGCTGTTACCTATGAGAATATTTTCGCGCCTTTTAACATTTCGAAGATTAATAAAGTTATGGAATTCTTAGACAGCATCAACATAACAAAAACTTTACTTAATAATTTAAAATAACTTCACATTACCTAAAGCTTTATTATTGAGCGCTAAAAACCCTCGCTGTTGACGCGCTCTATAAACTCCTCTATCTCTCATCAAAAAACCCTCTGTCTCAATTAAAAAATCTCAAATTTATAATTTCGTCCAATAATATCTAGTCAACATGTTTATTTTTGTTAAGAATGACATGTATTGACTATTTCGACTCCAAATATCTTGAAAATGGTTGCTCGTAGTGAATTTTACTAAGAGCCCTTTCTACGTAAAATGTCACGAACTGTATTTCATTCAGTCGTTTTATACAGGTACGGACGAAAAGTTATTACTTCAAAACAGTTAAACATGTAGATGGAGCCTCCTATAAGTAGAAGTCATACTAACATAGAAATCGAATTTCTCATGTCAACAAACACCAAGGCACCAATTCTCATTCAAATATTGATGTTAATTTATAAATTATTTGAAAAATCGAAATAAAATTGAAATTTCCACACCCTGATCTCCGAAACGAAGTAATTTAGAGATAAATGTAGATAAACTTGTTTACTTATTTTTATCTACAGAATATGCTGTCGATAAGCCTGGAAAAAACACTGGACCACCCTGTATATGACAGCTTAAATCACAATGTTATTTTGCACCAGCATTATACCTAATGCTAAAATTCTGTGGTGTAAAATTCTGCTGAATTATACCTAATGCTGTAAAATTCTGCTGAATTGGTGTAATTTGGAATAAATTGAGTAAATCGGAGATATTTTTTTTGAAATATGCTTGGATATGTAGGTTAGTTTTTAAATTGCCCTTTTGATGCAAGAAATTTTATACAGTCCCAAATTTAAGATATGACTTCACCTCGACATTTATTTTTCTTCAAATGACAGCTCAATTTTTTTATGACTATCCTTAAAATGTAGATCAAATGACGTAACTAAATTTCATTTTTATACCTATAAAAATGACATTTATAGTGTGGAGAATTTGTTGAAAATATTTTTTGAATTATTTCAAAGGTCATTTTATTTATACTAAGCAGAACGTCAATATCTAAGTGTTATATTTCCATGTTTGCTATACCTATTTTCTTTTTTTTTGCAACAAGAATTGGTATGTTTTTACTTGCTAAATATGAATATTACTTTGTTTTGTTTAATTTAATAACGCTTTTTTCTCAATTTCTTTTTGATATACAGGGTGGCACCTCTCATACGACTCGGAGGCTTCAAGGAGAACGGTAATTTATATCAAAGTGAAATTTTGGGAGCAGATATAGGTTAATTTAGAGCATTTTTTAAAATATAGAAAATAAAAAAAAAAAAAAAAAAAAAAAAAATATTATATATTAATTGATTTTATTTTTTTTTTTTTTTTTTTTTTTTTTTTTTTTTTTTTTTTTACATATTTACATTTTGTGAAAATGAAGAATACTTTTAAATTTCAACAACACTAACCTAAGTTGTAATTTACCCTGTATAGTCCGATATTTAGTTAATTAAAATAACCATTATATATGAAACCAAATTAAATTTGACCCTTAAAGTTATACAGGGTGGGGACAAATTAATATTGAACAATGGTCAATTTTTAAAAGCAGTTACCCCTTTATTTTTAAATATAAACCCAGTATTATTCCGATATTCAATGAAAATTCATATATTTATCTTCAAAATACTATTAAGGTTAATAGCCTACCCCTTCGACGAATATTTTTCTAGATATTTTCATTTTGATGATTTTGCATCAGTAGATCTTATTAATTGATAAAATCTTTAGAGACTGTGATATACCTTTCGTTAATTTAACAAAAACTAAAATATTTTTAAGAAGATTTTTTTTTTTTTATATTTTAATTGTTATAATAGAATTAAAACTAGTTATAAACGTATAATTACGTGACAAAAATTAGCTAGATGAAATCAAATGCTCAAAATGCTTCCTTTCTTCTTCACCGCATAAAATGATTCTTTTTTCAAAAGATCTTTTTATGTTAAGAGGTATATCTGGAGTTTTACTTCGAAAAGCAGTGACAATCATTTCTCTGTTGTCGACAGTAATTGGTTTAGTTTTTTAAACGCTGTCTTTAACATATCCCCATAAAAAAAGGCCAAACTAGATAAATCAGGAACATTTATTCTATTTTATTACAAATAGATAAGCATTCTATTAATTGGTGAATGTACACTGTCAATTAATAGCATCATATCAATTCTCTTTGATATAGGAAAGTTTCCATTTTTGACAAATTTCTGACATTTTTTTTTATTTTAACTGCACAAAACATCCCCCTTTAGAACTTGGTCTGTCATGTTAAGAAATGAAAGTAAATAATAAAGCGCCTCGTGTTTGTTCGCACGCTAAAAATTTCAATTAATTGCCTGTATGTATTTTACAATTTTTTAATTGTAAAGTAATATATTACATTTAAATGGAATATATTACATAACAACATAGATAAATGCAACAAGTTTAGATGGGAAAGCCCGTAAAAATTTTGGGTCGCGAAATTATTTTGGGTCGCGACCGTTATACGCGATCTGGCGCAGCTATAGCGGTCGCTAAGAACAACGGCAAACAAAAAACAGAAATAATTCTTCGTCAAAGTCAGAATCTTCAAAAATCATAATAATCTTTCAAAATCTAAACCGCTCATTAAAGAAACCTGCAAAGTGTTTATAGCGTCCATTTTCGAAGTAATTATTGCTATCTTGTGAGTTTAATTCAAGTTTTATTTACTCCAATCGGTGATAATTGTGAAAAGTGGCATTAAAAACTTAAAAGCTGTGTTGTGAACTGTGAACTGAAAAACCATCGTGAATCGTAACATCGGTTTCCAATGTTTCATAGGTATTTCATACATATGTCCTTATATAAATAAAGTTTCTTGTATGCAACACACTGTATTTTATTTATAAAATTAACGAAAATAATAATAATTTGAGTAAACAATATTTGGCGATATAATTCCGGAAAAAGCCGAACCGCTCCGAAATTTTCAAAAGTTTTGGGTCGCGACCGTTGCAAGAATAGCGCCAAATAGTGTTTACATTGTCCTTATGGGTACTTTCCAATCTAAACTTGTTTTATTTATCTATACATAACAATTATGTCAATTACAGGATTACAAGCTTGTTTTCTAACATTTTTTAAATAAAACGAATTATAAAATTTCAATATATGTATATTTGTCGTAGATATGAAAAAAGTAAAATATAAAATGGACAAACGCTTACTTACATTGCAATAAAACTTCCACTTTTCGTTTTGCAATCCAAACGCAATTATTTCAATTTCACAAATAAAAATATCCGACAACACTAAAATATGACTAAAATCACTGAAACTTCCGCGGCTGACAACGAAAACTGAAAAATATAACGGCACTTTTTGTTTTGGACCTGCATATCAACATAACGCTGTACCATTATGTTTTTGTTTTTGAAATAATATAAAATATCTAATTATAACTTGTAAATTTTAATATTTTAACATGATTTTAACTATTTCTGACATTTTTTCAACTAACTTTTTGTTATCAAGATGACATTTTAGACGGCAACTGACATATATGTCATAATATTTAAATTTTAAATATGTAAATATAATTTAAATTAATATAATGCAACTTTATATAAAGAAAACATTTATACATTCACAAAATACAACAAAGTATAATAATATAGTTTGAAAACAATGAATATTGAATTAAAATTAAAATAAAAATTAAAAAAGTTAAGCGCACCCATTGTGGCAAAATTAGATGATTAAATTTTCGCAATTTTAACACCATTTGATGACCGGTGGCGCCTCTAGTGTTTGTTCGGGCGGTTGGTCTTTTACTCCAGCTTATGGCCATTAAAGAAAAAGTTCTAAAGGGGGATGTTTTGTGAAAATCATATACAAAATGATAATTAGTTGCATTTGTTAAAGGTGAACTAATTTGACAGCTATGTTGAAGTAACGTCAGGTATCTCACCAGTCACCTAGATTGTATCAAATAATAAAGATCTACTGATACTAAATCATAAAAATGAAAATATCTATGAAAATCTTTATTTGAGGGCTAGGCAACCTTTACAGAATTTTGAAAACATGTATTTTCCCCGTTGAATATCTGAATAAAATACTGGGTGTTCCATTTAAAATAAAAGTGTAACTTGCTTTTAAAGCTGACCAATGTTCAATATTAATTTTGTCTCACCCCGTATAACTTTTTCGGTCAAGTTTTAGTTTGATTTAAAGAACAATAGTTATTTTAATTACATATTAGGTAAATGCCAATTTAGGTAGTTTTTATTGAAATTTAAAATTTGTTCTTCATTTTCAGAAAACATTAAATATGTCAAAAACCTTACATGTTAGTCATATACTTCTCTAATGAAACTCATCATTATTTTTCTGCTAGAATCCAAAAATCAATTAATATATAGGGTGTTTCGTTAAAAAATACAACTTTGATGTGTAACTTATTTTGTGGACACTCTGTAAAACTCTCTATATGTTTAAAAAAATGCCTAAAATAAACTACATATGCTCACAAAATTTCATTTCAATACAAGGTGTCGTTCTTCTCGGAGCCTCCGCGTCGTATAAGAGGCGCCACCCTGTATGTATGTGGCTACATTTTATTAAGTATTTCTTTAGATTAAATTTCTCATTCCGATAATAAATCCAGGGATTCCGGGATTATAGGTTCTTATCCCGGTATTTCAAAACGCGGGATCCCGCGTCCCAAACCAAACCAAACCATCCCGAAAATTGGAAACCTTAGACAGGAGTATAGGCTAATTTCTGACAAAGTAAATATCAGTGGCTACTGGTCTTACAGGGCCAAAAATTGAAGAACAAAAATAATTCACGAGCCGCTTCTAATAATAAATGCTCAAAACAATTTCCAGTTTCATTTAGGATATTGTCAGCAATCAATTTGGAATCAATTTGAAATTTGGTACAGTATGATATAACATAAAGGTTGCAATTAAAAAAAAAACTGTTGATGATACAATGATGTATCATGTATCATATACAGGGTTGTTCCCGGGACACGGGTTGACACGGATTATTGTATCTAAACGATTATTTTTATAAATTGTAAGTTTTGGGTTCGTTGAAGGACAATTAGAGCTACAATTTAAAAATATTTTTACCAGATACAGAGTGTCCCGAATAAGTAAAAAAATATTATAGTTGTTGTATTTTTTAAATGGAACACCCTGTATATTATTCTATTTTTAGATTCTACGATTGAAATAAAGGTAAATTTGATTAAGGTTTATCACACTTAAACCTTACCGTTTTTGAAATATTTTCTATTTGAGAAATCGCCCCAGTAAAAATGTTAAGGCTTTCCATTTCTCCAGGGGTATCAAAGTTTTAATACTAAATATTTAATGAGTTTATTTATTGATCCAAGATATTGTGTTGCAATAATAAACAAAAATACTACCTTATACAGAGTGTCTAAAATTTATAAGAGATAATTACTAGCTTTAAACCTAAACTTGCATTTAATTTAAATAAAACACCCTGTACATATTTTACGAGAATCAGATGCACAATTTAATTGTCAAAATTGTACTATACTATCTTTTTACCTATCTCTTCAAGTTTTCGAAGAAAATGCATTTCTCTCTACGAAACTTTAGAAAAATACATTTTCTTTGAAAACTTGAAGAGATGCTTGTGAAAAATGGTATAATACAATTTGATGAATAATAAATTATGCATCTGATACATCGCAATATAGAAGGTGTTCCATTTAAATAGAAAAGCAAGTTATTGCGCTTTAAAGCTAGTATTATTTAATATAAATTTTTGGACTCTGTATAGGCTAATATGTATTTATTATGGCAACAATATAATCTTTCCAGTAAATATTTAGTATTAAAAACTTTGATAAAATGGAGGAAAAATGAAGCCTTAAATTTTTTACTGCAATTTCACAAAATTGAAGATATTTCAAAAACGGTAAGGTTTAAGTGTGATGTCTCTCGCAATGTAACTTTATTTCAATTGTAAGAATCTAAAAATAAGTAATACTACAGGTTGTTCCATTAAAAACAACTATAATATTTTTTTACTATTTGAAACTCTGTATCTTGTAAATATTTTTAAAATTGTAGTTCTAATAGTCCTTCAAACAACCAAAACTGCAATTGCAAAAAATCTAATCGTTTAGCTACAATACTGTGTTGTATATGATGTACAACCCTGCATTCTGGACATACCATGTAATTTTTAAATAAAAAAGAGCTTAATTTATGATACTAATCGAAGTGTGGGATCAATTTCTGAAAAAAAAGTGTTATTGGAAATCACTCTCTATATTTAGAATCTTTCTAATTGGTATTTAAAAATTATAATGAAGTATGAAGTCTTGCTGGTACAAAATTGGCTTGTAGTTTTGTGTCTTGTGTCTATGTAAGAGCTTATGTTAATTTTACCTCTATTTCTTTTCCGATACCTTCAACTATATCAGCCAGCGGATCAACTATTTTAATATTGTTACATTCAATAGCTTCTTTCAAATCGTATCTAAGTTTCTTTCCAACATTCTGATAATGATCCAAAGTGATATTGTGTAAAGTCAGAAAGCATACTCTACTTTTTCATAGAAAAACTGTTTAGTAAATGAGTAATAATAAAATTAGAGTCGAAGGCATTTTTCTAATAAAGATAATTCTATCGTTGCTCTGGATTTTAATGAAGATAATACAGGATTAGAAATTCGTGGATCCGACAGAGAAGCCATTCTGGGGTTCTCCCTCATCTAAAGCAAGAAAGAAAAATGTGTCAAAATTTAATAAATAAAAACAGGATGTGCTATGACCTTCACTGAACTTTGATTGGTTTAATTATCATGCAATGCCAAATGTTTTGGGCGTGTATAATTTGATATTTTGATTGTTTTTTTTTTTTTTTTTTTTTTTTTTTTTTTTTTTTTTTTTTTTTTTTTTTTTTTTTTTTTTTTTTTTTTTTTTTTTTTTTTTTTTTCAATGTCATGATAACTTTTTGGTATATTTACAGTAAAATTAAATTGAAAATTTTGGCCCTAAAATATGGTTAACGCTTCTCCGAAAATTTTATTGGTCCATGTTACATACAGAAAAATCAATAAACAGTCTGAATACAGCGTTCAAGGTAACCGAAATATAAGCAATATTTTAAAAAATACCATTGCCCCCTTCAGTAAAACATCAAAGTTTAACGTAACCTTGATAAATAACATTGGAATTTGTATGTGTACTTATCAATGCAACATTAATTTAGTGTAAAAATGGCATCGCGTAACATCGAAAGTTCCTATTACTTATTAGTTATTTAGTTCTACCTTATATAATTTACCTGCCAAAAAATCAGTGCCAAACGAAGGGAATTTAGACCATTTGGTAAGTGCTTTTAATTTAAATAACGCATTATTTATAAAAAAACGTTTTTGCCTTTAACCTAAAAAATAATGACATTGAGAAGCGGGTCCACTGTAGTGCTATGTTGCCAAACGTTATCAAAAATATTTGACATTCGATTTTGCAGATAAATTTCAAATAAATCGTTCAGTTCATTTGAAGAAATACAGAAATATTAATTAACTGTGTTTAAAAAGTGCGTCTGTACAGGTACGATCGAACATTTTATGTAAAAAGAGCTATATTTTTATTTTTAAATCGGTCATTATCAGCAAGAGTAGGACACTTGACAACTCAGGTAAATTGGATCAGTGATTGGATGATCTTAAAATTTAAGTGTATCGCATTACGATAGGGGGCAATAATTTTGATTTTTTTTTAATAATAAAGGATTTATACTAAATTTAAATAATTTAAAACCACATTTTATAAAATTTCTATTATCACTTGAATAGTTTAAATTAACATTTTTTTAATTTTTAATTATTAGTATTATTACAATAAATAAATATATTTTATTAATTAATATCATTAATATTGTTATGCTGTTAATAAAGCTGTTATAATAAGTTATGTAATATCAGGTAATATTGAAACATTCAAATTATTCAAATTCCAACCATCTGTACATACAGTGCACATCAGTGTTGAAATTAGCATGGATTATAAATTTATGGCAGGAATAGTACAATTTGCTTTAAATAAATATTTAATTTTTTAAAACTTATCAGTTTTGTGTGAGAATATACGTGATATCTATGAATAGAAACAGTGAAAATTATTGTATCTGTAGTTTGTAGTACCTGTCCTCAAATTTTATGGTTCAAAAATCATAAATATTTTACGAGTTGTAAATGTTGGCAGCATAAAGCATGCATAAAGGGTTTTTTATAGATTTGTGACAGTGCGCTTTTCTAAATTTAACCGCCAGTAATAAAAGGTACATAATATTAATAATATGCATTTGTTTTTTATATCTATAAATATTAATTTATAAATTTGGCAAATATATTTTACCGTTAGTTTTAAGTTTAATTATTAGTAGATATTATAGAATAAATATAATCTATTTATAATATTTTTATACTGGTATATGCTAATTTGCTAAGTTTACTTATAATATATACGATACGTATTTATTGGCGTTTATTATTATCTTAATTATATTAACAAAGATATCCCTCTGTTATGACTTGACGTTGTAGAGTAAAATAACTGATATGATAGGGAATAGTTTTAGCAAGCTGATTTTTTTATACCGGGTGTGTTTTAAAAGTGGCTAGCCCCTGCTATAACTTTTTTTATTTTTTAAGATAAAAAAACGAGATTTGGTATGTCATTTCATATGACATAAATTAGGATTGATTGACATATTCAATTGTTTTCGGTCACTTCCTGTTTCACCGGAAATGACTATAACTTTGGATTTTTAAATGACATCTTCGTTATTTTGTTACTTTATGCGATAATTGTTGTGAGTAGTGTATTAGGCTTTTGGGTTAAAAATGGCGCCCTAAAAAGCATATTCTACATTACTTTTATTTGTCACACCCCCCCTCCCCTAAAATAAATTCCTGTATCCACCCCTGATACCATTTAAAAATCAAAAGTTTCATTTGTGGTTTCAGATGCCATTTAAAAATCAAAAATGTGTGTAAGAGTATCAGATTTGAAGAAAAACGGTTTTCCAATGTTTTTAAAAATAAACAAAATATTATAGTATTTTTATTTACCCTTTGGAGGGCTGTAACTTCTTTGGGAAGCATTTTAGGGCGTATAATCATAGGAACTTTTTGTTTTATTTTTATCTGTAGAATCACACACCTAAGTAGGATGAGCATACGGACCTCTGCCCTTTAAGTCCAGTAGTCACTGATATTTACTTTGTCAGAAATTAGCCTATACTCCTCTCTAACGTTTCCAATTTTCGGGATCGGGATCCCGTTTTGAAATCCCGGGATAAGAACCTATAATCCCGGGATCCCTGGATTTATTATCAGAATGCGAAATTTAATCTAAAGAAATACTTAATAAAATGCAGCCACATATATACAGGGTGGCGCCTCTTTATACGACGCGGAGGCTCCAAGAAGAACGACACCTTGTATTGAAATGAAATTTTGTGAGCATATGTAGCTTAATTTAGAGCATTTTTTAAACATATAGAGAGTTTTACAGAGTGTCCCCAAAATAAGTTCAAAATCACCCACTGAAGTTAGATACATTATTTTTTTGACAGCCTGTATATGTATAGAGAATTATTACACAAATTGAAAAACTTTATTTTTTTAAATACTTGGAGGGCATTTATGTGAGCACGATGACGTGTATTGGGTCGTTAATGCCACAGTAGTTTCATAATTTCCAAATAATATAATATATCACTAATGTTTTTTATTTCGATATACAATTTATAGATTAACTAATAAGACAGATATCGCATTACATATTGTGGTAAACTGGAATCTATTACTACAACACATGATAATTTGGCTGTAAAATAATATACCCATGTAATGAATTTGAATTTTGTGATAGTTTTACACATTGTACGAAAATTACTAAATAACTTTAATTCTGTCTCCTACAAACCAGGAAATATTTTTTATATGGTTTGTGTATGGTTAGTGTGCATTATTGATTTTTTAGTTTTTTTGTTTATTTTTTGTTTATTTTTTATATCGTATAACTTTGGGAAAAAAATTCTAATAAGTAAATCGACCAAGAGAAATCGCTGGAAATTATTGCCAAGTTCGCAAAATGTCTGCTAGGGGGCGTTTCTCTGAAAGCCAATCAGGAAACAGAGTTTTTCTCAAAAATACGCAGGTGAACAGGTATTTTAAATATTACTACTGGAAACGTCGAGAAATTTGTAATTTTTTTGATATAGAGTATTTTGCTCTATCTCATAAAATAAAGTGGTGGGGGAAGGTTAAACTTGATTTTATTAAAATAAGGATAACTCTGGTTTAGGTTAGCCGATTTAAACAAACTAGGGCTCGTTTAAAAGAGCTTTTCTTCCTTGATCATCTCCAGTATAAATTTTGTTTCCATAAATTTTTTCGTGGTAGCTAGAGGGCGCTGTTTGACACCATAACAGATATTGCGCTTTTGTAGAAAAATTTTAAATGGGAGGCTATATTTCTCTTTACACGGTTAAATAGAGCACAAAATTTCCAAAAAATCAGCGCAAACCGCAACTTTCCATCTTCTCTCTAACCGGAGATATTAAGAGAACAAATCATGTTCGGCTGCCGTTTAGGATTATATGATCTAAAAATTATAGTAGTAGGCTAGGAAACAAAAACAGGTAACTTGGTTACGTCAAAATATCAAAACGATTAAGTTCAGTTTTCATGCATCCGAATTTAGGGCGTTTTCTTAAAAAAAAATGACGTCATAAGTTTTTAAACGTGTTTATGTAACATTATCGTCCATCAATATAATGTTTAGAATTTCTTGGTTAATTATACTTAGGTAGTTCTAAGATTAAAATGTCCAAAAGGCGGACAATCAATAATTTTATTAAAATTTCTAGGAATTTTGTGCCGCCACATTGCTTTTAACAGAAAACGGGCGAATTTCGTATAGCCGAAAACTAGGCGTTTATTTTATGTAACGTCATTTAGTTTATTAATCCAAATCCAAGTTTGTCCTTGATTTCATTTGTTTTCGTGTTTTACCTGTTGTTTGTGTTATTTATTATTATAATAAAGGTTATGCAGTTTGGGTCACTGTTCAATATGCACTACTGGTCCAAATCTAGCCTTGATGCAAGTAGTTCAGCATCAAGACCGTCGGTCGGTAAATTTTTAGGCAGGAATTCTAGGCAGGAATTCTAGGATTCAATTTTGTTAGGGGATCCATCATGATGAAAGTGCATTTGTTGCAATTTCATCAGCATGAGTGTATAGTGTGTATGATATATTGCCTCCTATTTAAATTTTTTATGCAAAAGCGCAAAATCTGTTATGATATCAAACAGCGCCCGCTAGCTATACTGGAAATTTATACTGGAGATCATTAAGGAAGAAAAGCTCTTTTAAACGAGCCCTAGTTTGTTTAAATCGGCTAACCTAAACCAGAGTTATCCTTATTTTAATAAAAGCAAGTTTAACCTTCCCCCACCACTTTATTTTATGAGATAGAGCAAAATACTCTATATCAAAAAAATTACCAATTCTCGACGATTACAATAGTAATATTTAAAATACCTGTTCACCTGCATGTTTTTGAGAAAAACTCTGTTTTCTGATT